CCGCGTGCCGCTACTTTGAGACAATTCTTGGAGAAAGGCGAGCCCTCCTGCGTTTTTGCATCGACATAGAATGCAGATAGCAGGGGCGACGGAACTTCACTACTGACGGTTTTCCAATCGATGTTCTCCTTTCCGCGCCCCTCGCAGAGCGGACGGAACACGCAGCCATAATCCGTGGCACTGCCAGTGTTCTTGGGAACTGCTGCTTGAATAATGGCATCGTGATTCGTGGTCGTCCTCAGAAGAACCAAAGAATTGTTATGGGAGTCGATTCAACAGGCTCGTGCTGATTCATTTTACTCTTACTTTGGAAAGGAGACGAACTCTATGTCTCTAATGAGCAAACAACAGCGGTTCTTTTACAGAGCTCGCGGTGAGATCTGCGAGATCTTACTTGGCGCATGGCTGTTATGTTCAAACTACTAAACTGAAGTCACAAAGAGTGTGCGATGGTACTGCACTGCATGCACTGCACAGTGGTAGTTTTGCACTTGCTCCGCACAGGTGGGTGAAAGGAAGACTCGTCGAGCCATGGTTGTGGGTTGGAACTCCAATCTCTACCTTTGTGGGGGAGAGGGGAGTTTGTATATCAGCTCATTATAAGCATAGTAATTATAACCTAACCAGTTGATTATATGGGAAATATAAACCTGTATACAAACGGAGGCGACGCCTCGGTTTGTATACAGGTTTATATTTCCCATATAATCAACTGGTTAGGTTATATTATACATACACTACTTGTTATTGCTGTTTGTTAGTCCATCACAACTTGACACGAGTTCCATTCTACGTGTAGTATGGTATGAAGAGATAGTGCTGCCGGTTTGTCTTGCTTCGTGATCGCGTAACTTCCCCTCTTTTGCTTACTCTTTCTCTCTCTCTCTCCTCTCTCTCTCTCTCTCTCTCTCTCTCTCCCTCCCTCTTTTTCTCTCTCTCTCTCTCTCTCTCTCTCTCTCTCTCTCTCTTCTCTCTCTCTCTCTCTCTCTCTCTCTCTCTCTCTCTCTCTCTCTCTCTCTCTCTCTCTCTCTCTCTCTCTCTCTCTCTCTCTCTCTCTCTCTCTCTCTCTCTCTCTCTCTCTCTCTCTCTCTCTCTCTCTCTCTCTCTCTCTCTCTCTCTCTCTCTCTCTCTCTCTCTCTCTCTCTCTCTCTCTTCCTCTCTCTCTCTCTCTCTCTCCATCTTGTCATAGCTAACCTTTTAGTTCGGTGAGATATTTAGCTTGTTTTCGTCTGGAGTACGCCCTCCCCCCCCCCCATTTCTTACGTCAATTCATGACTTAGAACCTTCCGAGTTGGAAGGATTTTGGTTTGCGCATTCCAGACGTGATGCAGCTAAGCATCAGGTCGTTGAATGTCAGTATCACATCACTCACATTTGTGTTAACTGTTTTACCTTCTGACTCGCCACTCTTATCTTGCTTTTCACCGTTAGTGTTGGACAAAACGGATAACTTGTAAACTTACAGTCCTCTCCTTTTTAATTTTAGTTCTTGGTGCTCCATTCGAGTTTAATCTAATGCTTATGTTTGTAATGTTGATTCTTGTTGATTCTTGTTGTTGGTGTTGTTTTATTTATTAATATACTAGGGAAATCCCCACAGACTATGACATGTACTGTAGACTATAATAGTCGTTTTCTTCGTTCACCACTTTGACTAGCCCACGTCCAGTAGTGATTTCTGAGGCTGTCAGGTTCACCTACTAAGATTTCTATGTTTTCCACCTGGCACGGCTGGTATGCTTGAATTCTGAGGCCAGACTCGCATTGTTCGACTTAATTTTCCATTAATTTTGTGATCATAACATACTCTGCTATACAAAAATCATTCCGTTCTGCAAGTATTTTGCATGGAAGGCTTCTTCATAATGGTCGCACACATGCATGAAGGCATACATGTAGGTGGTTGTTTTGTGATGCGACTTTAACTATAGGTTAATGCATGGCAGGGAAGGCTTAATGGCTTGTTAGTGCCCGACAGGTTAGCCTGAGGGCCCGAGGGATAACCTGAAGGTCGCAAACAAGCCATAAGGCCCTCCCTACCATGCACTACATGTATATGGATACGTCAATGGCTGACGCAAATATCACAGTACGAAAAACAATATTGCACAACGAAACAGATTTTAACGAAAACCAGATTAAGACACCGTTATGGAAAGTGTTCTTGAACAGGTAATAACCTTAATAAGAGGAACACGAACCATTCGAAATGTTGCTAAGAAACCCTGATCAATTTAATATATAATTAATTATGTACATATAACCTACGTGGAGATAATAATTTTAATATAGCTATGAATAGGATGAAGGCCGCAGACATCACGCAACTACGTTACTTGTTTGACATGTATTACTGTGTATTTTATAACAAAAATATTATTGAAAACCCAGAATCGATTTTCTCGTTCCTATCATCAGTGGGAAAAACGGAACTAAGGATACAACCAAAGAAACTGAAGTTAAGTACTGTAAATAGAAAGGTGTTAGAAATAACATCAAGATACAAGTGCAATAAAACCACTAGAGGAAACCCAAAAAGGTAACAAGATTACATAACCAAAGGCGAGAAGGCACTGAACGAAGTGTCAACCTACGAATACAAGAATACATTAATCCAGAGACCTCGGAGGGCAACAGCAAACTACTCCACAGAGATCTATGCCAGAAACGGCCAGGGACCGCGCGTTGTGGACAGTACCAACAGGAGGAGGGTCGAGCAGTATCATGAGTCAGTGAGTGAAGCGGATCTGGAGGAACAACTCCGCTCACGGGACGAGCAGCTAGCAAATGGGAGACAAGTGGTCTGTACTGAAACGGAGGATGGGACGGATGATCAGAGGATGGAAGAGGAATTGGATGACGAAACGGTTGGTGAGGAGACAGAGGACGAGGCAGATGATGGTGGTGATGATGATCGTGAGGATGACGAGCGGAACGAGGAAGAGGACGATGAGATGGACGAGGAGGAGTCGGGTGGGAAGGAGCGAGATGAGGCGGATGAATGTGTTGATCGTAAGAAGTCAGCTGTGTATCTACACTTGTTATCTCGTCCTGACTGTCTTGGTGTGTATGATGACTCTCATTTTTCTGTACTGTGTCGTGCGCGTTATGTCCAACAGTTGAAAGTCCTAGAGGCAGTTTGTATACGTATTCATAAGCCTGTTTTGTGTAAGCAGAAAGAGCACATTGTTGCACTGAAGTTGTATTCGTAGGTTGACACTTCGTTCAGTGCCTTCTCGCCTTTGGTTATGTAATCTTGTTACCTTTTTGGGTTTCCTCCAGTGGTTTTATTGCACTTGTATCTTGATGTTATTTCTAACACCTTTCTATTTACAGTACTTAACTTCAGTTTCTTTGGTTGTATCCTTAGTTCCGTTTTTCCCACTGATGATAGGAACGAGAAAATCGATTCTGGGTTTTCAATAATATTAATTTTTTGTTATAAAATACACAGTAATACATGTCAAACAAGTAACGTAGTTGCGTGATGTCTGCGGCCTTCATCCTATTCATAGCTATATTAAAATTATGTACATGTACATGTAAAAAGTAATGACAAGTATCTCACCTAGGAAAAGTCACTTTTATAATTCTTAGATCTCAATAATCGCAGCAATGACTTGTACAAAAATGTAGCGAAACACATTTTCTCAAGATTTCACTCGCTTGCTACCTTCAGTTACATGACCATGTACATGTACATGTATCTTCATTTTCAGTGCTTCTTGCTACCGATATTCTGCAAAAGGCATTGCCTTCATACCCAGAGTTAGGTTGAGCGAAATGAAATCGTGGTTTTGTCTAGCTTATCTGAGACCTCATGATGAAAATTCAAAGTTTGAATTTCCTCAGCCCGTTTCAAAGTGGTTCAGACTTGACCAGACTGGTCTCGATCGCTGCTGGTGCGCGGACGGCGGAGCATCTGTACGTAACTTGTGTCACTCTGTTCCTGCACGACCCTGCAAGAGCTGATATCTGGAAACAGAATATAAACGCATTGACACAGGGAACATTCCGTATTTCAAAATGATGAATATTTGTACAGACTCGGGTGGAGAGCCCATGATTAATTTTTAATAAAGAAAAGGACCAGAGTTGATGGATGCTAGAGCTGATAGCAAGCTAATTGTAGAACGTCAGTACTGTCCGTCAGTGCTGTGCAATGCTATAGCATGAGCTGATTGTCAAGTACATGTAACTGGTGGTGTTAGTGGACATTTCCTATAGCGTAACTTGTAGCTCCTTGGTACTTTTCTTTACTATGAATACATGCACATGTATCTTACACAAGACAGCAATGGAACCACATGAAACTCCGAGTTACAACTAAATTCAGCCTAGTTGCATTATTTAAAACTTGTGTTTTTGGCTCTGCCCTTGTGGCATTGAGCACGTTCAGCAACATACTGTGTGTGCTCGTGCAATGTATAGGATTGTCTCTTATCAGGTCTTTTAATAAAACACCCAAGTTATAAACAAGAAAACGTATGGGATAGCACATGGATATTCGTGTGCATGTGTATACATGTGCTGTGTGTCTGTGTGTCTGTGTGTCTGTGTGTGTGTGTGTCTGTGTGTGTGTCTTTCTTTTGTCTTCTGTTTTTCCTCTCCCTCAATCTCAACGTACCTGTACTACAAGAAGTTACGAGAGTGGATGTCCTGCAATTCCCAGACCTAAACCATGGCTGGCACTAACTCTATTTCCAATCGTGCAGCACTTTTTTAAACTACATGTAATGGTTTCTCTTCTGCAAATCGTCGCAAGACCTCCATGCAGGCAGTGTGAGGGGGGGGGGGGAAGTGTGTCAAGGATCCCACACATCAGAAGTGGTAATGGGCAATTAACGCCAATTCCGCCGTACCATGATTGTACGCTTTCATCTGTTGTCTACTTATTCAATGGTCTGCAGCGTGCTGCATATCTAGAAATCATATCCTGCTACATTGGCACGAATTACACCCTGTTTGATAATAGTTATACATGTACATGTATACTGTACCTTCGTGCAGCTCAGATAATACGTCCAGCAGTTTGCAATCGCAGAGGTATGACATCATTTCTTTATCTGGGTTCATTGCAGGCGCATCAGTGACTGGAACTGGACGGTTCTTCCATCTCAGCAGGACAGGCTGTATGATGGATTTCAAGTATTGGCCTCCACTGCGCCCAGCGATAAGTGTCACACTATGATCTCCCAGCGCAGCTTGAGCGTCTTCACAGCTCTCACCCAGCACAACCAGGAGATGGCGAATGGCACTCAGTGAATCATTGATCACGAAGAGGACAGGACTCACGTCTGCCACATAGAGCAACTTGCTGGTGATACATTCCTTCCTTCTCTTCACGTTCTCCACAATGCGTAGGGGTGGGTGTGGGTGTTGTGGCGGTGTTTGCCGTATGGTAGGCCGCTCCTGTGGCACAGGGAGGGCTAGCCGGCCACGTACTGCAGGATTTGCAGGGGGACAAAGTCAAGATACATGTCATGACGGCTCTGTATGTACGTCCAATGTGCATGTACATCCGGAATTGAGGTGCTCTACCTCATTTCGAGGGCATCTCCTTTTTAAATAACTTTTTTGGAGATAGGAAGCTTATCAGGCAGAATTTTATCTTTTTTGATGTTGTGTTGTTGTCGTTGGTGGTGGTGATTGTGTTGTTGTTGACGTTGTCGGGTTACAACATCAAAAAAAGATAAACTTCTAAATTCAACCACCCCCTAGAGTAAAGACTTCACAGTCTTCAGTTCGAAGAGGGTCCGAACCGGGGTTTTCCCAATACGGTTCAAATGGTCGCAAGACCGGGACTCTGTCAACCGGGTTATGGTTGTAGTCAGGAGCACTGGCATGCGCCCTCGCCTTTTAACATGCTGTCGAAATCGAAAACATGTTAACTATCAAGCAAGGCTTTTATTATAATTATACCAAGGTTCTACATGTAGTAATGTACAATCATGTACATGTACGTGTATTATTTTTTTGTATTTTTTATAATTTGAACTTAGAAGTTGCGACTTTTTATAATTTATTTATTTATTTATTTATTTCTGCACCTCGTGGCATGTCAAGACAGCCAATTGAATTGAGGAGAGGGTGAGACCAACCACGGAAGAAGAGAAAAAAGAAAATGAAGAGCACGTACACTAAGTGGGAAGGGATTAGCAACTTACAAAGCAATGGGATGCTCATCGAGCTATGCAGCGGAAGTGGTGACTGTGACTTTGTTATCTGGGAGATACTGAAGTGCTGTCTGACGAGGGTACGGAATTTGGGCATATCTGGAGCTTGTCTAACACTGGGAGTCCAACAGCCTCTTTTACGGGCAAAATTAAAAGCAACACAACGATGAGAAATCAAGAGGGGTAATTTTTTTTTAATCTGACACACGCATACACACACATACACAAGATAATAATGATACTCAGTACTTAATCTGCAGGAGTTGCAAAGAGAGTTAAGGGGGCACATCACCCAAATATTTCATATGGCATTCAATTGACCGTAACTTTGGTGTTTCTCAGTAGATTTGAGTGAAATTTTGACCACACACTCCTGCCACTATGCTGGCCCTCAGGACATGATTTACAAGTTCTTGCGCCTCACTGACAGGCTTTCCAGGCCGGAAAAACTCAAATTTCCGGCATAGTGCCACGGTGTGCGAGCCACCCAGGAGCCAAACAAATGCATTTACATTTTTTTCACATTTTCGTGCCCATTCTGTCCGTGCGCGGGACCCAAACCTAAAACAAGTCCAGAAGCAGCCATGGGTGGTGGGGTAGGGCCCCTCTACGTGGCCCTGGAATCTGTCACAACGGAACGAGAGGGCGTTCTCTCGCGGACTCCCACAGGCCCAAGTCAATTTTTGAATTTTTTTAGGTTTAGCACGTGCTACGAGGTCGTACCTTTGATACAACATCCAGTGCTGGGACCTCCACATCAAGCCATTTCCACAGCGCTGCACACCAAATCCAGGATGCCCTCAGAAACCGGCAAAGACTGCCACTCACGTTTCACTACTGCCTAGTACTGAATCCTACCTGACTTCTTGACACGACTCAAACTTGCCAAAGTCACTAAATCAACGTCAACTACAATAATCAAGCCACATATCTGCAACGTCACGAGGGTGCTGGCAAAATAAAAGTCCTGCTGCACGGCGGCGGGCTTCGCCCGCCGCCGTGCAGCCCAATACGTCGTGGTTTTTTAACGTGATTTTTTGGACTTTTTTGGACTTGGGGCAAAATTCTGCACACTTTCGCGTGTTTCCATAATACGACAAGTTGCGCACGGTCTGCTCACATTCAAATACAGTGCTGCCAACAAATGACATCATGCAACAAAAAAAATCTTTCCTTGCAAGGGCACATTTTCGGCCATAACTCTTGAACGGCTGGTCAGATAGGGACACAGTTTTCAGAGAATTTGCAGCTATTCATGCTCTTTCAACTGACGTAGCACTCAATATGAATTTACAAATTCGATTTTTCAGCGAATTTTTGGGTGATGTGCCCCCTTAAATCAATGCAGCCTCCGCGTTTGCGAGGACAGCAGACTGATCATTGACGCGGCGCATCCGCCGGGCACCGCGAAGGCAGGCAACACTGGCACGCAGGAGACCAAAACCGAGACGACAACGCAGCAACGCCATCACCATTGGGTACCGTGACTATGGCTCTCCGGTTTTCTCTGCAGACAGAGCAGCAATTCGCTTGAGAAGAGCGGAAGCAGCTCGACCGGCTCCACCTGTGGCCGAGAATACAACTGGTACAAAGGTGGCTCGCTCAACTTCTTGCACTCTCTGACCATACCTGCGACGCTTCTCCCACGAAGGCACAGGCTTCGTGGCAATGACCCGCTCCAGTGAAGCAAGGCCAGCAGACGCACTTTCGAGTACCCGGCAGAGGAAAGACCAGCGGCTGGAGAGGCCTTGGGTGAAAGCAGAATAGGCTGCTTGTGGCTGAGGCAGGGCGATTGATGTCCGTGATTCGACCTGCCCACACCAGTCCCGGGCTTTCCCGTGTACGTATTCTTCGACAGACGCAGGTGTGCCTACGGCTGAACCCAGGTAGCGGTTGCCTGTGGCGGTGATGCGGATGCCTGTGCCTTCGTGTACTATTAATACTATAAATAGGGCAAAATTGCACGTACATGTACTTCAGTACGGAACGACAAGGACAATCAAGGCTTGCTTGCTGCTACTTCAAGTAACTTAGTTTCATGCTCTCGCATTCATCAGGCATGCAACATGAGGATGGGAATTGGGATGCCGACCATGCCGGTATATACATGTACATGTATGCCAGGAGAGGATGGGTCTTGTAGCGCTGTACGAAAACTTGGCTGAGTGAGAATGTGGGGTTTCAGGGATACATGTAGCAGTGTTATTTTAGGCAGGAGGCTATGTGCAGAGTGTGTGGTTGTTTAAATTAAGGCACGGTCGACACTCCATCCTCATGTTGCCGGATGATTGCGAGAGCATGAAACTAATACTTGAAGTAGCAGCAAACAAGCCTTGATTGTCCGCGTTGTTCCGTATTACGCTCTGCCTCCGCGGTGTTGAGCACTGTCAGCACACTGGGTGCACATTGGGTGCAACCTCCGGCGTACTTCAGTACTTCAGTACATGTAATTGTATGGCAGGCTGGCAGGCGTGTTGGCATCGACTTACTTCGTACATATACATGACACTATTCTGCACTATGGGCATGCAGAGGTATTTCATGTTCACAGAATTCATTCAAAGCCAAGACCGCCATGAATAGCTATTGTCTCACCTTCACGAGTCGAAAGGATAGGTACTTCGTATCCGCCATTGTCATCCTGTTCAATCCCTGCGCCTGTGGTTGCAGAAGGCAACTGAACGCCAGTGGTGTCCACGATGCTTGCGATAGCCGCGGACTCGGATGGTGTTTGGTGAGCAAGAACGGACGTCGGGAGAAGTGAATCACTGCCCGGCAACCGGCGTGGAGGGGAGTTCTGACGCGACAAAATCAAGCGTGAAGCGACAACGTCGGCGGTAAGCCGATCTGAAATGGTCGTTTCGAACGTGCGGTTGCGAGGAACTGGCTCAAGGTCATCGTTTGTTTCCCTGGAGCCGGTTTCCATGTTTTAAACTACAATATTAGTCTGTTAGAACTAACCTACTACACATGCAAGTAGCTCAGGGCCTCTCTGCTAATCACAAGGTATTCCGTGCAACACTAGAAGAAACGCAGTGATGCTACACAGTGTACATTGCAGAAGGAAATGGACTGCTTTGCTGCCGAACGGCACTGAGGTGATCGTCATGACTCTCTTCTTCACCATCATCAAATCTGAGACTAGTGAGAGTGAGCTGGCGAGGCAGGCGCTACTTGTACTATTATCAGGCACGTCGCCGAAGACGTGTGATGAGCAGGTCGGTTAAGCCACATACAATGTACATGACTGCATGTAAGTGGGTGGGCATCCCTTTCCCGGTGATCCCCTTCCACTTCCAGTGCTAATGGCGCTGCCGTCAAGCCTCAAGGGCCACATGACAGATTGTATGCGCCTTGAACCTGTACAATGAATATGTACACACAATGAATATGTACATGATTGTAATTTTTTTAATAAGACAGTATACATGTTGGTGGCTAAAAGTAAAATATGGCTAAACTGCCTTGAATGTCCGCTACATCCATGTACATGACTGTATGCACATGTTGGTGGTAATGACTATGAACAGTTAGCACTGCGTATTGCGTCTCTCTTTCACTCCTTCTCAGTCCTTCGTTCTCGTAGGTCCTCTAGTCTAGGCGAACGCATCTGTGACTGTGTCATGACGTCATGAATCCACACTCAGTACTACGAGTGTACGTTCCCTGCGCAGGTGCCTGGATTTCCTGCTAGGCAGCCAATCCCGATCTACTATGCGTTTCCGTCCACCAGTCCTCTTGAGGTTGCGTGCTGCATGCTGACACAATCCCCTTGATCTACATTGTACATTGTACAGTAGCAGTCAGTACTGTCGCTTGGCGAC